AAACTATAATAAGACCCCACTTGGAGTATTGTGCTCAGTTGTGGTCTCCACCTGCCTGCCATGGGAATTGGGCTACTATCATTGAACTGGAAAATGTCCAGAGAAGGTTCACACGCCTTATTGATGATATTGGAACACTTCCTTACAGTGAAAGGTTGGATGCCTTACAGATTACAACACTCGCAGAGAGACGGGTTAGAGGAGATTTGATTGAAGCCTACAAAATTGTAAATGGATTGGTTGAGTATGGAAAAGATATTTTCAATTTAAGTAGATCGGGAGATAAAATTGTTAGCACTAAATCTAACAATATTGATAGAAATATTAAAACCTTGTCTAATAATTTTTTATCAGAGCGTGTTATCAGCTTTTGGAATAAATTACCATCATTAGTTAGAAATTCAGTGTCTGTTATTGATTTTAAAATTAATCTAGAAGAATTTAAAAAGACTAATAATTTAGTAGACACAGGCAACTTTTGGGAAGTGTCAAATATAGTTTTAGCAAAAATAGAGGGTGTAAATTATATCGAAAAGAAGAAGCAACAAGTTCAATATTTATATAAAAACCCGTGTGTTGCCAAGAGAAAGGGAATAAATATCTCATGAATTTGTTTTTTTATCTAATTTTTTTATTAACGGTTTTTTAATATTTTAAACTTTTTTTAAAAACTTATTAATTTAATTTCTACTATAATATGTAAATAAATTATGACAATTATGTTAGTTATAGAATTTGTTTGTTTTTAATGACGAAGGCTGTGAAATGTTCACAGTTCTGATAATGAGGAAATCAGAAAGAATGTTTAAAACTAGTGATGATGTTTATGTCATTATTCTTAATCTAATCTAATCTAATCTTAGACAAATTTAACCTGAAATTGTTAAACTTGAGCTCTGATGTTCTGGACAATATTCTACCAATCGTTTCTGAAAGAATGTTGAATTCTAATACAGTTATAGATAAATAGATCTTCAAAATAGGGGCAAGACATGTTTACTTTGTCACATCAGTTATTATTAGAGTTAGGTAATCGTCATCACATTAACATATATTCTTTTGTAGTTTGGATTGATTTATTTAGGTAATAAAGCAGCCTATGCTAATTTTTACATACTATCTTGAAATTGTTGGGGCAGGAAAAGTTAATTTTGTCACATTTTTAGTGACTTTGACAAATTTAACCTAAAATTGTTAAACTTGAGCTCTGATGTTCTGGACAATATCCTACCAATTTTTTCTGAAAGAATGTTGAATTCTAATAAAGTTATAGAATATATAGATCTTCAAAATAGGGGCAAGACATGTTTACTTTGTCACATCAGTTATTATAAGAGTTATTAAAGGAGACTATTTCATTATATAATCATTGTTTTTAACCTATTTGCGATTTCGTATAATTTTTTGTGACAATGTAAACATCAACTGATCTTAACTTGCATCAACTACATTGTCATCATGTAAAGTTTTCCCGCCTTTCAAACCAAAATCAGATATAAATAATTCGCCCAAAATTTTAAATTCCATATATTGTGACAGAATTAACCTCATTTCCCAATAACCAAGTGCCTGTATTAGCTAACTTTTCAAAGCAACATATTTAAGGGCTATGATTGGTACTCCGTACTTGGTAGATCAACCATCAAATAATGAGTAAAAAGGGTTTTGAGGACACATCACAGTAGAATAGAGGTATGGTATTCTGAGTGTGACAAAGTTACCCAAATATTGCCTTGTAACCGTTCGATCCGTGCCCTTTAACCAATGTTGTATCATAATTGTTAGATTGACCTAATCTACTATGTTTCAGGCCAAGGAATGGTAATTAGACAACTGCAGTTAACTAAGTCACACAAAATGTGACATTTGATACATTTTAGTGCCTAACAACAATAGATTTTCTTTCTGAGCAGTGCATATGGGAGTATGTGTTATGTGGCTAATGTTCAGAACTTCTGAACGTGCTAGGTTAATAGATGTCAAAATTAAGCCACTATCGTCAAAAACGCTGTTATTTTTATTTACCAATATCCTCAAACTCAAATGAACGTGTCCATATATACTGTTTGACACACTTTTCTTTAAAAAAAAAGAAAAAAAGTTATATAATACGGTCTACATATATATTAAATTATTAACCATTCATTCTGTATGTGCACGAAAATTTATTTCAATCAAAAGAAACATACATCTTACAATTTATTGTTGAGATTCGAATTTTTGGCCTCACTGATAGTGTGAACATAAAATTCACATATGTGGTACTTTGACTTTTGTATTTTAGTTCTGGGAAAGTCATAGAAGCTCCTCCATGGCTGCAAAATTCTTGTAATAGCTATGATTATGTACATCTTATGAAGCGACACATACCTTAAAATGCTCACTTCTAGAGTTACCAGGAGAAAGTTTGAGAGGGAAACTGCTCGTCCTGTTATGTAAATGTGCTACAGTGTTGCAGATTATTATTATTAAATCTAAAATAGCTAATAATTTAATTAATTATTAACAGGCAATAACATACGCTTTATAAATTATATAAACAAATTCAAGTCTATTTTCCGATTTTGCTAATTGTCTCATTAGATCTGTTTCGGTCCTTCGTGGGAGTTTCCACATCTGCTGGTTGAGTATGCTCAACATAACATTCATGATGCTTGACTGCTTTATTGATCCGGGCAGGCAGCGGGAGCAGACATCACAACACTAGTGCGTTGGGACATAGTGTTGGTCTGTTTCAGGATGTTATGTGTTAGATCCCAGAGAAGCCGCCATCTTCTCTACTGCTTTAGCTCAGCGGCACTCGGCAGCATGAGCCCTGGTTTCCTGCCACATTGGTGTATTTATTTGATTGTTAAAGTTTTAAAATATTGGTAGCAATGTATTGTGCTCTGCCAACTGCAACACTAAACATTTGATTGTGCCCTGCCTATTGCATCACTTGATTTAATTGAATGTATACATTGTTTGAATAACCTTTTCACCATTCACATTTGGGGGAAAAGCCCATGTAATGTCAAGATTCATGCGAGATTGCGAGCTAGACTCATCGCACAAAATTTGTAAATAAATGAGAAAACAGAAAAAGTTTAACTTCAAAGTTGAGGGACCAACTTTATACACTTAACATGTATTTTATCACTTGTTTACAGCGTGAAAACTTCGACGTAGCGCTCGCGAGATTTGTGCCAGATTGTTGCGAGTTTCGTTTAAATCTCATGGCTAGGCTCACGATATCGTGAGATCTCCCCGGTCGACTCAGCCGAATGATAGGATACTTAATTTACGGTTAAATGAGAAGGGGTACCTGTTAGAAAAATCAAGAAACTTCCTAGGATACGTATACCCCGTCAGTGCATACTGTAACAAACATAGAACTATTGGCTATTAACTATTATTAACTATTTACTTGGTCATTGGCCTTTTGCAGAAGGTTACTTTTCAATGAAAAATATTCTGGAAATTCTCGGGAATCTAGGAGTATTTTTTCGAATCAAGCAATTAGCATCAATGCGCGAATATATATACACAAATACTATTTCACATATATATTCCGTGGCGTGATCAGTAAGCCGATAGGCGGTGACAGCTGTAGGCGGTTCGAAACCCGTCAAAGATCGTTTTACTGGTACTTATTTTTGCAATGAAAAATTTGGCGATAGAGATAATTTTCAAACACAGTTTCAATAACAAATCAAATAATACGATTTTGAATGCATATTATGGCGTGCAAGCAGTTCTAGCAAAATAAGTTTAGTTCAAGCATATCGTATTCTCTCGAAATAATTTCAGGAGATTCAGTGAAATGATAAATCAAGCAAGATTTTCTTGTGCCAATTTAAGGGTCATATCAAAGGATTAATTCCTGTAAATTTTGAAAAATATGGGTACAGTAGGTTTCACTCTCAGAAAGGGCGCAAGGAGGAAGGATCTGGAACAATTTTTGAAACACCTGTTTTAAGGAATGAATTCTAGTAATAAGAAATGTAAATTTGGACTACAATACAAGGGGCGAATTTCATGCAGTTATACTGCAGTTTGACAGGGTATGCTGAACGAGGCCAAAAAATCCCCCCCCCCCCCCCCCCCGTGACACGTGACAATCGCACTTTCAAATGCCCAAAATCCAGTCTCATCGCACTTTCTCAGCAATCTTGATAGGGGGGGGGGGAAAAGGAGATGGCCGCAGTAAATCGGGGGTTTGTGGTAGATCCGGGCGCATTAAATCAAGGTGCTCTGTATCAGGAGGCAAACATGATCAAGCAGCTAGTTTTTGCCGCTGACTTAGTAATTTTAGAAGAACCTTTTAGCCATACATGTTGTTGAAGGCTTGTTATAAATTCATCAGAGTTTATTGCAGATTTCGTCTTCCCCTGCAGGAGATCATTTATAGTCCAGGGTAGCGAATACCCTATGAATGATGATTTTTCACCTTGGCAGGAGATGTTTTGTAGTTCCTGATACCTTCTGGATGGTGATTTCATGAGAGTTCTAGGAGAATTAGTCATCGAATTCGAGTTACATACCAGTCCTTTGTATTTTCGTTTAAGTACCTTGTGATCTTTTCTCCTCTGCAATTGGTAGGTATAGCCTCCAGAGGCAAGGATAGTTGACCGTATTACTAGACCATCAGCCAAAGCAAAAGGACAGCTATAGGACACTTCCACGGATGAAAGTGACTCCCAGAGAGGGCTGGCATTAGGAGTAGGAGATATGCCCCAACCCTTAGTAAAAGCTGTAAGAGGTGTCATGGCTAACAGAAAATCTTGTGCTGGCTACAAATGGCTTCCAATCTGATTCCATCTTCTGATTATTCATTATTGACATGACACCTATACTACTCATGTAGATGTTGTCTGGCACTTCCAGCCAAATGAAGGGACGTTTTAAATTTGAACTTTTTCACAATGTTTACTAGGGTTTGATTTTTGTAATTATATTTATGGACAATTTTAATATTACTTCCTTTGTATATTGTATAACCTTACTTTGACAACATTGCAGCATGAGTAATAAAAACAGACAGCGAAGTAGGGGAGGGGTGCAAAGTAACCACAGTAACGCGTAAGTAATCACAACAGTTAATATAATGATGGCTTAATAAATTAATGTTGAGGAGCAGCAAAAGCAACATGTGAAATTTTGCTAATTGTGAAGTGCAATTCCGCACCTACACTTTTTTGTGCAACAAATTTATAGACAAAAATCGCCAAAATTTCAGCCTTTAGGTAATCTCGTTTTGGATTAGTCAACATTATAATATAGTGTATAACTTTGCCTTGTTGTGTATAGTAAGGCAACATAGCTTAGTAAGTAGAGTATTTAATAGCATAACTTTATAACTTTACAATATAAGCAAGATTCAAACACATTGTATGTATTAGTGACTATCGTGACTAAAGTGGCTCAATTTTAATTTTTTGAGGGGTTGCGATCCAGCTTGACAAGTTATTCATTTGTCTAGATTCACCCTCTTTTGTTTAAGAAAATTAAATATCGATAGTATTTGTAAAAAAAAGGTCAATTATGCACTATCAACTTATTAACTTGCCATCTGATAATAATAACAATTAACTTTTTGGGAATATTTTTAGGGAAAAGATTGTTCTGTTTTTACTGATCTTTACAAGTAATTCTACTATCCTATGTTTTTTAAACGTTATGGGCATGTCGATCTTATCTCATTGTACACAGCGATACCAAGTTGAAGTACACAAATCTGATAGGGTCAATAGTGCGATTCAATGCCCACCGCACTTCTGTTGCCCACCGCACTTCTGTTGCCCACCGCACCTCTGTTGCCCACCGCACTTCTGTTGCTTCTGTTTTTTTCAAACTTTGGAATCGATTTAAGAGCCTAGACTATTTTGTTTACACAACTTGGTTTACACAACTCTATGGATATAAAGGGCATTGGCTGTCACTTCTCAGTTGATTATGCGTTCTTCTCTATAAATATCCTATTTTTATTAATTGTTATTATAACCCTAATCAATTTAAATCCGTTAATAATTGTCAGGACCCGCTTCATGTTGTGCTTTGGTTCATTTTGCAGTTTGTATGTGATGGCAAATAGAGTGTTAGAGTTGTTACCATTACCGACGTTTCTTGAACCTACTTAATTTTAATCAGATTATCCTATTTTAATCAAAATGGCTTTGACAGTGTATTTCAGTATTGCCTATTGATGTAATGCATCAATTATCTCTTATCTTGTCAGTGCACCTATTATGTTATTACTTCAAATATAAACAATGATAGGGAGTGTTGATTTAGTCGAACCGGTTAAAACGGCCAAAGCCGTCAACCTAGCATTAAAACTTACCAACATGATCGATATAAATGAACTCTTACTGTTTAGCAGTTTTTTACGCCAGATATTTGTCAATAAATCATAAAACCGGAAATTGAAGGTTTCTGACGAACCAGACCAAAACATCTAATGCACAATTTTTCTTACTGCTAAATGTTCTTTGATCTTAAAATAGTGCTGAAATTCGCAGAACTGACCTTTTTTTACTGACCTGTATTACTACAATTGGTCGACGAGTTTTTTATATGGTTTAGGTAGATTGACTGAACGGGACAACCAGACAAAAACTTTATAGTTCTTTCTTGATAAACGAACGATCTTACAGTTTTTAAACAAACGACTTAATGTTTGTCAATATCGCCAAACGAACATATTTTAAACTGACCGAAACAAATGCGTGGACACGTGATCACACCCCCTTTTGTCACGTGACCCCCTTTTGTCACGTGACCCCCTATTGTAGATGGTCAATAAAACAAACACATATAACTCCATGTGAGATAGATTTAAGGTATCTCCGGCAATTGTTCATATTGAACAAGGAAATTTGATGACCCATAACATGATTTTTAATTGTTTAGCTCATTAAATATGTACCCTGATGAAAATGATTGGCGTCAATAGTTTGCTTTGCAGTTCAAAAGCTTTTAAATCAAAAGTTACTTTAATGACAATTCTAAACTTAAAGTTTGGTAACCGTATGTTAATAGTGTGACCGATTACGTAATAATAGTATTCAACGTTCTATTATTCATTATAAAATATTATTATTATTATAATACACACATGGAATATACAAAATCCCGCAATTGTGCAGTACTCTTGTCGCCAGTAAATAGAACAAAAGTACAGTAATAATATTATGATAACACAACACGGTATACAAGGTAGCTGGACTTCTTGTCGCCACTAAACTGTACACATTGTCTAAGTTGTGTCTTGATACTCTGAGACATAATAAGATTACTACTAGTACCAAGAACACACCAGTGGTGCTATGATCACGAGATCTTTCTCGTATGTTCCTTATGACTGAACGTATCTAATTTGAAGTTGATCCTTGCGAAACAAGGAAACGCGCCATTAGAAACTGTCGTAACTTTAACAACTAACGTTACTTGTAACACCTTATCAGATCCGGTCATCCATTTAATATCAATTACTAAAATTACACCTGGTATGACTTAAATCCTCCTATAACGTAACCTCTTGATTACACTGGTAACACACCCCCCCTTTTCAGCAGGTTCAACAACAGTAGGAACAACAGAGGCGGGACCGGTGGTTATGCGCGTAACAACAGTAGCGGTGCCATGCCGCATGTTAACAATAACAGTTACCGTGATAGCCGCGGTGCTGACGCCCCTGTCAAACCGGAGGGAATCTACCACAATCACTCTATCTTAGCTGCACTGTCTCATTTAGTGGTAGGTGGTGGAGAGTTATGGTTCTTTAAGTTACTGTACTTGTAGTAGTAGTAGTAGTAGTGTATTTACTTGTAGTAGTAGTAGTAGTAGTAGTGTACTTACTTGCAGTTGTGGTAGTAGTAGTGTATTTACTTGTTCTTCGTCGTGGTGTGCTGGGAGGTGTGCGTTAGAGAGACAGTTAAGTGGGGGGGGGGGGGGTTCTCTACACTTTTTTACACCATACATAAAAAAAAACAAAAGTGTAGTGTAAAATAGCCTAAAAAAGTGACATTTTTGTCTCACCAAAGGTTTGTTCTACCCCTGTTTTGCCTTCGGAAATGTACTATCATGTGAAGACTGATGGGAAAATAATAGGGAAAAAAAGATTTTGAGAGGATAATTTGGTTAATTGTAATTTAAGGTGTAATTTAGTGTACCTTTTCTACTACACTTTTTACTATACCATACACCGAAAAACGAAAAAGACAAAAGTGTAGTGAACACCCCCGCCCCCCCCCCCCCCTGTTAAGTGTTATACTGGATGTATTGTTTAAAATATGACCGTGCCGTATGTATATTACATTTTAAACGGTTGGTCGGTGTATAGTCACGTAGACTACACTTGTTCTGTCTCGGAATGCGAGGAGAATTATCCGGATTCTTTCTTGGAATCTCGTATCGTAATTACATCTTCACAGGAGAGCCGAGAATTTAAGTCTGTGTAGCTACTGTTAGTGTTGCACAGATTGAAATATCCCTGGTTGATTTAGCCTGAACTAGTCTTACAGACAGTTGTAAGGAATGTAAATTGTAAGGAATGTAAATTCAGGAACTATTTGTCCAGGGCCGCGTTGTTCATGTTAGAACAAGAAACGATGGAATGTACGAGGGTGTATTTTGTACTTTGTCGCCCAAAGCAGCTTTTGTTTTGAAATGCGTACACAAGCTGGAGAAGAAGACAGCTAATGGTTTCAATGGGCCTGGGGTAAGTGTTATTGACTTTTGAAATGCCATTATAGGAATGTGTTGATGTTTCAATGCTCGCTGGAATATACGAAATGCTATGAAATTACTGACATACTTTTGGGTTTATTGTGATCACTGAATTCCGTAGTCTGCTAGGTGTAGCATTCATTTATAGCTATTATATCATACTTAAATTCGCGACAAAATGTGACTAAATATTTCTTTATTCACTCTTCAGATCTCCAGTCCATTGCCTTGTAGGGACGAGTTGAACAAAGAATTGATATTTGATTTCAAAGACATTATTTCTATCAGCGGGAAAATAGAAAAGCCCAGCATAAGAGACGTTAAAGGTATGCAGATACCAAAAGTCTTAATTTATTCAAGCCTCCTAAAGGCTGGCATATTTGCTGCTTTGAAGATGTTCAGTAAAAACATGAACATAATACATCTTTATTTTGAGTGTTTACAAAGAACCTTATCTTATCTTTCTTATCTCCTCCAGACAAGTTCTTGGTTGATTCTGAAGTGGGTAAGAGGAGAGCGGCTAAAGGAGAACCTAAAGAGTTACAGAAGTGGAGCGACGGTGGAGATATACACCAGACTTTCAATGAAATATCACTTGATTCTACCAGCGTGAGTTGATGCTTGTATATAACCTGATTGGGGCTGCAACAATTCTCGTGTTTCTAGATAATATATCTCCCCTTTCCATTTTTGTTAACTGAATTTACGTCTGAAATCACGGATAATTCCGGACTAGCCCACGCTTTTCTCATAATAAGCGGAAACTCCAGGGCTAGGCCTGCGCGGCTCAAGATTAAACCACAAACCGTTAGCTCTTAGCGTTAAAATTGCAATTCCTGTATGAAAAGTACGTTTTGCGCTGGTAGAATTGCCGCGCATTTTGCGCGCGCTGTGATACGTTTAGTGACACATCATGTGATCCATCTAGTAAAAGCCACATTTACTGTATTTTCTCACTTCTAATTGTGACGGTAAGCTGTCTGCACTTACCACCTAGCCAAACCCCACCCTTTTGACCTTCACTAACAACGTGTTACACTACTTTGCTCCAGGGTAACGGCTGGACGTACGAAGACATGATCCGTACGAACGAGGAAAAGTTCAATGTGTCCAGTATGTATGATGAGAATATGACGGAGTATACTGTACCAGTACCGGAATGTGACGAGGAAACGAAAAGGAAAGCTGCTCAACTTGCTGATGATATTGAGAAGAAAGTGACAACGAATATTCACATTGCAGAGGAGAGAGGACAGATTATGCCCACTGATTTGAACGAAGAAGAAAGGTAATTGCGCGGGCTTTCGATGTCTGCCGACTAACAGTGGGTGTTTAATTAGATTTCAATCGGTTTAATAACATGCCTGTCTTTGATCCAACTAGACTTATTCTTTTTTGGTAGAACAGCAGGCATATATGAAACTGATCCGATGCGAGATGTTGCTCTTCTAAGTTACGAAGTGTATAACTTTGGGTTCGGTCCGACAACCATACAAATGAGCCTGAGGACTAATGACAAACACACTTACTATCCAAACATTACATGGAGTTCTGTCACAGGTACAGTTCAGTTGTGCGACCCGCTCAGTACATTGAGATCACAGAACCAGCTAAGAGGTATGCTGCAGACATTCCTGCACCTCTCAGCCAGATTGATGAACCTACTGAAGATGTGTTCAAGGAGGAGAAGGAGGCTGCTCTCAAGAAACAGAAAGGTAAGAAGAATGAAAAGAAAGGTAAGAAGAAGGTCGCTCTCAGGGGAAAGAAAGGTATTTGCTCTACTAGATTGATTGACAATAATACACGGTAAGAATGCTAAACATGTAGTTGTTCAATTAGAATAAACATTAAATTTCACGGTTGCATGAAAGTTGTAAGGTTCGGAGTTAAACGTTCACAGATACCTGTGCTTAAACGGCTTGAGAACGCACTCGAATAAACTAGGGAAACTATCTTTATCGATTACATAATTTTCCAATTGACATCTGTCAGCGGAATTGCAATTGTTTTCTTACGCAAATGTAAAACACCTGACTATTGCATTGTTTCCTCACAGAGGCAGTTGCGTTGGTAGCAGAGCAAGGTACAGCCTCACCACTCACTACGGTGCCTCAGTCAGACTCTAAAAAGTGTGTTGTCGAGACACAAACGGACCTTCAAGTCTCCGCAGCCAAGAAGACCATTACGTCCCCAACTGGCTCGGCGCCTTCGTCACCTCAAGTTCCTACCCAGGCAAGTTGCACACATGTATTGTTCAGTTTTAGTATTGTATTGTCTGAGAAACTGCCCAGGATTTCGTTCTGTCAATGTATCATGTTGGCAGTTGTTATTTACTGGGCTAAAATATATTGATTGCTATGGCGAAAGCTGAGGTCTGAAGGCAAGACTTAAGTTTTAATAGCAAAATACACAATCAAAATGGAAAGTGTTCACATTCAAACGGTTAATCATTAATCAAGCTCACGAAACTAATCTCATTCATACTTAGCTCAGGTTCATCTGATTTGCCTACATGCGGTATAATTTTCCTTAAAATTTCGATCGGCTTTGCAAAAGAGAGCCAAAAGTTCATGAATTACAGAACTGTACTTTAACTGTTTAACTTCCCCATACTGAGTAGATTATTATTCTTATATTACAGTCAAGAGGACGTGACGGGGGTCCTCTGCCCGGCTTACAGTGGTCAAGTGGCACTTTTTTCTTACAAACGCACAATAACACCCACCATAATTTAACAAGTTCCTATTATGACATGCGTTTGCAAGTTGTTGATTTTTAAACTTTTTCGAATGGTACAAAAGGTACCATAGAAATACATGTTTACCAACCGTGGCGACTAAGTATGGTTTGTGAATGTTCGTAAGATTTTGTAAGACTTTTTACAAGTTTGGGTGTGTCAGTGGTGATATAAGGTATTTTGTTGGAATTTGGAAGAAGTGGCACTCATATCCCCTCCTCTGACATTATAATTCTTTCTCTGAGGAATGTTATGAATTTGTCGACGTTAATGATTTAAACTACATTTGACCAGTGTCTACCACCTCTAGTTACTCATAGTAGAAATAGCCGCCATTCTCAAGTTCGTCTCATATAATTTAAAATAACTGATTTTGTTGGAATTTCAGGACAAAACTCACCTGTCTCCTCAAGAGAACCTGCCTGTCCAAATACCTGACACAGTGTCCACCACACCCATCAAGATATCTTCAAAGTTATCTGGATTGGATGATTTTCCTCCCGAGCCATCACAACCTCAAGAGTCACTCACCTCACTGTTACCCTCACCTTCTGTATCTGACTCACCCTCCTTGCCATCTCTCACAAACGCTCAGATAGACACACACACTGCCATACCCTCTACAACATCCACTGGAATGCAAACATCACCTCTTGTAAAACCAAAGAAAGGTGCTCTGACTCCAAAATCTCAGATACCTCTTACGAGCGCGGCTGTTGACTCCAGCAAGATTGAAAGTGGATCTCAACAGACGCCCACTAAACAGGTGGGAGTTTTTGGAATTAGTTTTTGGATTAAGTTGTTATCGTAGACTTTTTGGCTGCAAACAATGTCCTTCATGATGAACTGGCTACTGTATTCACCGCTTTGTGCGTTTTAATCGGATTTCCTTGACAGTCATTTTATCAATGTGGTATGATTCTATTCATGGTATTTAGATATCATAAAACAACCATCTCATTCGATTTACATGGAGTTAGCAATTAACAATATTCTGAAATGCTCCGAGGAGGTTTTAATATGTTTCAATTTTAGAAACGATTTGAATAAAAATAACCCATTATTCATAAACCACAACTTACCAGACAACCTTGCAGGTGAGTAGTCCGTTAGCGGTACAACACTCATCCACCCAGTCTACCCCCACAAAGAAGAAGAGTGAAGACTTGGAGCACGTGACTCAGAAACAAATCATGAAGTCTGAAAGGAGCAGAAAGGAGGAAACCAAGGAGGGACTCCGGAACTTCAAGAACAAGTTCGAAGATTCTACCCAGTCCAGAGTAAGTTAAAATATACAGTTTCACGTGCTTTTCTGAGATCTTTTAAAATTTGTTGCTAAACGTCAGAATTTGTTGAAATATGTGAGTTGACATTATATTATTTTACTTCCGGCATAATCCAGTATTCTGTTGTTCTTATCTTGTAACCAAGGCAACCACTAACCCGTCATATATATTCAGGTATCTAAAGTTCCTGCGACTGTTGCTCAAACAACAGCCATGCCGCCTCATCAAGTCATCCAACAAGTGTCCCAACAGCCGATAGCTGGGCCCCAACAAGGGGGTCCACCCCAGATGATGCAGGGCAAGCAGAGAAACGACAGCATGAGCAGCGAGAGCTCGTATACAATGAATCAGCAGTACCACCACCAACAGCAGCGTCACTCCCTCACTCAGATGCAGGTAAACAGATATTCGATACTCTTTTTACTTTTCCACTCATGTACACACCACTGGTACTCGGTCTTTGTGATGATGATAATGCTATTTCCTTTTGTCGCATGTTTTACAATTGACGGTGTGTTGAATAGTTCTGTTGAGTATTATCCAGTTTCGTCTCCTGACTTTCCTGCAAGCCTTTGCGAATGGTTAAGATTGTTATATACTATTCTACAAGTTGATCCAAATTCCAAAAGGCAGAGATTGTTACATTACAGGTGGGCCGGGGGTCACTTCATTACACCCCCCCCCCCCCCCCTACATTACTGTTTAAACGGCATAACAAAGTTGTATATTTTGCATCCTACATTTTTCCAAGCTTATTATAACGTTTACGCTTACTTTCGCATAGTTCTGAAGAATTTCAGGGCTCTGAAAATGTTCATAGCAAGCAATGGTATGGCTCTCATTACGATCATATCACGACATATAAACCTTCCTCAATGCTGATCAGGGTATGCAATTGCACGAGAGAAATATTACGCATGATATCAGCCGGTTTTTATCACATATCACGTCATGTTAAACAAAACAAGCCGGTAGTTTTGACATTCAATATTTAGAAATATAAGAAAAATACAGTGCCACGTTATCAGCGAAGTAGAATTAGCGATATTGAGATAAGAGAACAGGTCTCTCGCTTGTGTCGTCATGTTTAGCTTGTCTTGCTCTAAAATCAGTCAGTCCACCAAATACTCGGTAAATAATTATTAATCCACTATTATTTTTATTACCTTTATTATTTCCGCTGTTGAATTTAGCTATTTAAGTGTTAATTGTCCGAATGGTTACAGAAATAATGAATTGAGGCATTGTTCTTTAACCACCAATATTTTTAAAATCAAAACGTAAAAACTCTCTTTTTTGCTTTCTTTTCTTCCAATTTCAGGTAAATTTGGGGATCGGATTCTGTGCGTCATTGTTTATTTATTACTTTCTGGCTATATAGGTCAAATTGTTAAGGTCAAGGATCGATCTATTCTTTCAAGTTGATGCGGCTATTAACCGTTTAGTCTCATTTAAGGAAACAGTCTTCAAAGGGCATGATGTTACTGAACGATATAAGTCACGTTACAACGTAACACGTCATACTTATAATAAAACGATTGATTTCGTCGAAATTAAATACCATGCCATGGAAATAGTTTTATTTAGTTTATTTTCAGTCTCAATTTCGACGATAATCTTGTTTTCTTCGCAGCATTCATAGTTTATTGGGTTTATTTCAGTATTGGTATGACTCTGTATGTTATCACGTGACTCCTATTAACCAGTAATATCTTATCCTTGCTAGAATTCGATTAAAAAGCACTCATTGCATAATCGAGATCTCGCTGAACTGCTCAATTCCTCTAATCAGAAGCTGTTGGGACTGCGTTCATGATTTTCGCTTTTCCATATTTTTGCAATACGTTATGTTATAAATAATTTCCTAGCACTATATGACAAAATATTTTGGCAGCAATTACAGTGATGTTTTGACCTTAGGTTTTATCAATAGGGACCGTTCACATATTACGTAATTATCATTTTGTGGCTAATTTTTAACCCCCTCCCCCCTCCGTAATCAGTTTTACAAGTATAGCTAATAGCTATTGTATCAAAATTACACCAGCGTAATCATTTGGAGACCCCCCTCTCCCCTCGACTGATTACTTAATATGTGAACGATCCCAATAGGGAAAGATTAGACTTGTGCCTTGTTTTTAGTGTTTCTTTTATTTAATAAATTTAATTTCAGTCTTTCAAAAAGTCTTATTATGAACATGAAAATTCGGTCGATTTTCATTTAAATACATCTTAGGACGTGCCAAATACCAATCATCCTCTGTTTGTTCGATAGTACTCGTTAGAAGGTAATACAAAGAGGCTTCTATTTGGATTTTGTCTTGTGCCTTGCGAGCCTGAAGTACTAATTACTTGTACTTGATTAGGTCTCCTCAATCATTCGAGTGGCCTGCACCAATGAACTCCCGTTTGTGACGTATCATCTCCCTCCAGAGTTTGCGGTCACTAGCCATCTCACTCGCTCCTTCTAGGTCTATGTCAGTGTTTCCTGTAAACGCTGCAGCATCTTCCAGCAAACATTTCCTCCAGTTCTTTCTTGGACGACCCCTAGATCTCCTCCCATGCGCAGGGGTCCAGTTAAGCAGGTACTTAGGAAGCCTAGTGTCTGGCATTCTGGTGACATGGCCAAACCAACGCAGGCGGTTTGCTCCTATGTATATCTCTACTGGATTTATCTTTGCACGCTCCAGCACTTCAGTGTTTCTAACCCGATCAAGCCATCTTATCCTAAGTATTCTCCTCAAGCAACGCTGATGGAACACCTCAAAGCGATGTAGCTGCTTTTTGGTTGTGTTCCAAACCTCACTACCATAGAACAATATTCATCATACTCAGTTGATTGAAGGCTCCGGAAGCTTTCTGAATCCTCGCTGACAGCTCACGGTCGATAGTACCGTCGCTGGAAATAATTGTACCTAAGTACGTAAAGTCACTAACTTGCTGCACTGGCGTGTCTTCAACAGTGATGTTCACTGTGGCTTCTTTCGTGTATGGCCTGAAGTAACGTGCTTTAGAGTGACATATCTTTCTGCAGAATTTTTCTGTGCCCCAGAGCATATTATCCCCCCTTTGTCCAAATAATCACATACTAAATGATCTAGATCTTTCTGGATGATCTAGATCTTTCTGGAGAGATCTGTGAAGATTGTCATGGACATGACAAGAAGTAAACATGTATTCTAGTGACCCAGTTTCATCCAGCCTTATATTTGATCCTGTAACTAACTACTGAAACTAATACATAACCACTCACGAAAATCACACACTTGGACCTTTAAGCGGTTGAGAGTAGGATACATTCTTATTCATGCTGACTTACCATTGATGTACATATTATAACGTATCGCAAAACTGCCGCGCGGGTGCGAAGGAGAACTTTTTAGGAAGATAACATAATGTACAGATGCTGTATTTGTTCCCTCAGCGACCTATCTGTGTCTGCGGTGTGTACGTGTACACTGCCTCCAGCTGTCACCCGTCAAGTCTTTTAGGGAGGAATTAATGGACTTTATTTGTAATTTTAGCTGCTCTCCACTCGTGCTGCATCGTTTATCATTGTAGTTTTTTCTGTGGTTACGTTTGTGTCGTGTTGTTTCGTGTGAATGTATGGATGTGTTGGTGTAGTCGTTGTGTGTGTTTGGTGTGTTGTGTTGTTTGTTTGTTGTGTTGTGTGTGTGGTGTGTGGTGTGTGTGTGTGTGTGTGTGTGTGGTGTGTGTGTGTGTGTGTGTGTGTGTGTGTGTGTGATGATGAGAGTGTAACAGCATGTGGCATCCGCCACAATTGGAAGCCAAAGCGACTGTGCTCAATCTGGCTGGCTGTGAATTAAAACCAGCAGCCTGGTTCAGGTCAAAACTTTCCGTTATAAACTATTGCTGCTTCTTGGTTGTGTATTCCAAACCTCACTACTTCAGGAACAAATATTCATATATCATTATTGAAGGCTGCTTAGGTGTGTTCCAACCTCATACAGAACAGTTCGATAGTACCGTTGGATAAGTCCAACTTACTAAATCACTGAACTTGCTGCACGGCGTGCTCACAGGAATTCACTGTTTCTTAGTGTAGCCTGAAGTACGTGCTTAGAGACAATCTTTTCATTGTTTTCTGTGCCCCTGAGATATATCCCCGCTTTGTGAATCATATCTCACAATTATTTGTAGACCCCGTAGCGGATGATCCCCCCTTTTCGAAATCTTAAATTACAAATGATCTAGATCTTCTGGATATCTAGATCTCAGGAGAGATCTGTTAAGATTGTCATGGACTTGACAAGAAGTAAACATGTAATCTAGTGACCCAGTTATATCATTTAAATGACCTTAACCTCCAGAAACATACATTCCAACAAGACAACAACGCAGCAACAACAACTCCATAACATGCAGCTGCTTATATCCACGGCTATTGTTCAACAGCGAGCAGCAGAACAGACAACAACAACTGCTAAGCAGCAACAAAGAGCAGCAAGCAACAACAACAACAACAGCAACAACAACAGCAACAGCAACACAGCAGCAGCAGCAGCAGCAACAAGTTCAGGTTAGATTGCCAAAATGCCAAATACTTCAATTTTCTCATGTTTCCTGACGGTCATCTAATATGAATATGATTAAGGCTCAACCTTAATTCAGAAAAAGCCTCAAATTAATACGATTATGCCGACGAGACTGTACCATTACATGCTTTACTTGAAAATTTCTAATCTCAATATATTCAGCATTCGCAACAACAGCAACAGAGACAATCCCAACAGCACATGGCACCGCCACAATTGGAAGCCAGCCGACTTCTCTTTCCATCTTGAAGCTGTTGGAATTTAAACCAGGCAGCTGGGCTTCAGGTCAAATACTTTCCGTTATAAATCTTTCGTTCCCAATGTTAACTTCCATGAAGAATGGTTTGATACATGATGTAACAAAATATACATCACGTATGTGGCTGCTGTGAAGAATTACCAATCAGCCACTAACCATTGTATTTACAGGTTCCTCTGTTGCCAGCTCTCCAATACCCCAACCCAAACAAGTGCTAATCCAGCCCCAAGTGGACCAGAAAAACAACAATATGGTAATGGTCCCTCAACCACTAGCAGTGATACCTACTCCCCAGACCATGGTATCTCAGTATACTGGCCCTCACGGCCATGGGCCTCCTCTTGTTGCCCTCTATCCTACCTCAACTCTAATGCAGGTAAAATTGTGGAAATTGTGGCCGCGTCCAAAAAGCTCGATCATTTCAACGTGAAATCTACCGTGTAAGGCGATTTATTAACAAGAGCCAGATTTGACATCATGAGGGATTAAAATCATGCTGTTCGAGAATTTTTTAGAGTTAAAAAAAGTTTATAAGAAGTTTCAGAAATCCCGTACTTTAACGAGCACATTCATGACGATTGTTATTTCCCCAGGGAAGGTACTTAGCTCCAGCGGCAATGCAGCAACACCCGGCCGTATCCATGGCAGCCCAACACCACACCGCCATGGCAACCAGTCACCACGATCCCAGCAATGGCTCTCCTGCCGGCATCATGTCTCCCACCTCCCCTACCTCTCAACCTCAGATTATATACCACCCACATCACCCAGCTCAGACTCAGGTTATTTATTATCACCATCAGCATCCTGCTATTAGGTGAATGTTAGATCAGGGCCGGTTAAAAGTAATACTTGAATCTTATTTAAAGTAGAATTAAGAATGTAAATATTTCAGCTGGTGTCCCACGCACACGGCCAGTACCTTGCACAACAGACTCAGTTCCAAGCAGCCCAGATGCAGAACAACCCCCACATGCTGCAGTTGCAGCAGGGTCACATGTCGAATGCGTCGCAAGGCGGAGGCCCCTACGCCAACCCCCTTCAACCCGGCCATCACACTGTTTTCCCTGGTTACCCCCCTTCTGTTGGATAATATTTTGTGAGAAAATCTCGTGTATCTTTCATTGTTTCTTTACTAAACCAGCATCAGACCAACCTTAATTTCCCCCACTAGCGACTTTATTTCCTCGCTTGTGCATTTTTTACATCGAAAACTTTTTTCCAGATACTTAGTCACTATTTAGGATGAAATCCAATCACAATTCAATTAGAATTAACGCGGATACTTGATTATATGATAACAAATCTTATTATCAAGCAACTATGGAGATTATGCCGGATATTTTTGGGTGTTTCCCTTCATTGTCTGGTGCTGGTTTTAACTTTTATATTTAGTTTTTGGTTACTTTTCTACACTTTTTGTGTGTCTATATCAGAATCTTTATTAAAATTAAAAGTGATGTTTTCGAGCTAAAAAGAATGAGTTATTTAATAATATTTCGAATGCGGCACATTTCAGTTCACATTTCAGTGAGAAGGGTCTGTGGGATATAGCAGTCATAGCTGAAAGAAATGACTTGTTATAAAGTATTAGATATTAGATTCCTTTGTAGGATTCTTTAGACGAGCTATTTCTTGACGAGAAGAGAGTTAGATCAAGAAAACGTATTGCGCTGGGTTGGGAATTTGGAAGAGTTTTAACGTCTGAGATGAGGTGACGTGCTGTCAATAACCAACGATTAGGTTATAAAGTGATGTAAAATGAGAAAAAAAGGAACGGCGAGTAGAAATTGTCAGTGCCAAGCTGGGTCTTCTTAGAATTTGGATAGGTTCTGTCTGCCGTATGAATAAGGTTTTCTATTCTCGTTAAATTTTGTGAGAGAATTCTGGATCATGGGTCGGCAGAACGTCCTTTTTATTCGTAGTATTTTAGTAACGATGAGTGTTTTTTGATAAATTTATCAGTCCTGATATCAAATATTTGAAGTAGATATGGTAGCTAAGATGTCACACATTTGCATATAGAGAGCGTTCACATATTACGTCATCATTCAGGGGTGGGGGGGGTTTGAAATTGGACACAATTGCCTTGTGTAGCTCGCGGACGGTGGGAGGGCAGAAGATTTTAAAGACGCAAAATCTTATACTACGTCTTGCTGACGTAATATGTGAACAATCCCATAGCAATGGATTGAAGTTGAAAATAATTTCGGAACGGTTTATTCTATCACAAACTGGTGTCATAAAATGTATTCATCATTGGTAATTTGGTTCCTAATCATTGTTTTTCACTGTTATATCCAGTCCTAATAGATCAGTTTCGAATGCTGAATGCATTTCAGTCGTTTTAAATCCGCGTACAACTGCAAATTTATAATCGTAATCGCTCTGACCACAAATTGATGGGTTGCCAATTCAATCGACTTGATCGTATCTAAAATTTGTTTTAGCATTTAAGATGTAAGATATGTGATATGGTGCATCGAAATTCGAGACTCATATTATTTGTCGTTACTGTCACCAAGATGCATTTAGGCCTAACGCAGAGTTAGGCCTAACTTTGGGCTTGGCTCCCCTGGTCCCCGATAATAGTGTAGTTAAAATCGGGAATCTGTATCAGCATCTTCCACATCTGCTGTTACTGTTGTTGTAACTGGATTCACTGAAATAGTATTATAAATATTCAGTTACTTTTAAATAATACATTTTGGTGACCATTTAAAATCAAAGTTAGGCCTATACTAACTGCATCTTGGTGACAGTTATTGTATATTTATATTTATACAGGGCCAGGGGGGGGGGGGGGGGGCAAATGTCAGTACCCCATACGATGGGTCTGATGCCACCGCCCGTGTTTTTATCGTAGAGTTGTTGCTTTGGCAGATGGACTACTGTACCTACTTGGTCGAGGATCTCCGTCACAAAAAATTTAAAAAATTCGATTTTTGGGGGCCACACCCAATCAACATTGAATTGCTTTTACTCGTGTTTGTGAACAAGTTAGATTTAGTAATAGTATATAGAGACTCCGTTGTAACATATTTCAATAGGTCATTTTATCCGGAATATAAGCCCATAAAGATGGTCGAAACCGGATTTTATAATGGACGTAGTATCAAGCTTTTGTTTATCTCGTAATCAAATAGATTGGGGTAATCAATGATTTACCCCCATACAATTACGGACACCGTATTAGGGCTCTCTGTACAATTCCTAATGCGGATCAGCCTTCACACAATCACCCGATCACACGCAATGAACAAACTCGTTATGCTTCATTACATACGTATCATAAACATACATATTATATCTCTAATCTCCGTCATCTGATAAGCTAGAAGTAGAAGTATAACTTTCATTGTTTCAGGACTAACGTAATTTAAATGACCAAACACAATTTTAATAAAATTTGGTTTCGATCCGACTATCCAAAACTATCAAATAAATGAGAAAATGAACCGATATTTTTTGCTTTGACAATACCTTGACCATTGTTAATGGTCTGGCCCGGCGCGCGTACTCGCAGCACTTTGCCGTCGGGCCCATTTTGAGAAGAAAGCGGGCGAGCTACTTCGAAGAAATTTAGACTAGTACCATCCGTCAACAAATTCCTCGAACCAGTGGTGGTAGTAAGTCATACCAAAAAGAATTATTTCAATTGGGCACTCGGTTTAAATTGTCATACGTTGTATGACCCGCCGCGCACGAGGGCGCGGCTCCCCCTGTATCGTAGAAACTCTACAGTGAAGCGACAGTGGGGGTCACCTTCACCTAACCATGTGCTTTCGCGCCGCTGCGGGCGCGCTTGTTTCACAAGTCAAGAAGTTAGGGTTAGGGTTAGGGTTAGGGTTCGGGTTAGGGTTAGGGTTAGGGTTAGGGTGAGGCGGCGCGGCGCTTACTGCAAGCGCAAGGGCTCTGGATAGAGCAAGGGGTCACCAAGTGATACAAGGTTTCTATTTTATTCTAAAAACAGGATCTTAAACCGACAAAAAAGATTCTTAACAAATACCTTATGCGGTTAACTGAACTCCTTGAATAAGGATTTTCCAACATTTGTGGCATGCAGCTATATTTCTAATTTTCGTTCAATTCATGCGAGTTGTCCAGTTGCAAAATTTCTTACAATTATATCACTTCTTAAAAACGTTATCACGTTCCATTCTAGTGTTTAGGTCTCCCCAATCTTTTTCTTCCATGAATAAATTATCTGCTTCAATATGCAATATCAAAAAAGAGAGCCGTTTGGACTGGGCTGTTCTCCATACTTTTGAGAATGTATCCAAACATCTTCACCGCTGGTGTCGATTACGCCTTGTATAACTTTTACACCTTTCATTTCTAGTTTTGTTGTTGTTATACTTTAATTTTGGCCATTTATGTTTTAAAATGGACCTAAGGTGTCTACGATGAAGTGTGTCCATTTTCTCCGTGGTTGCTTTTTTTAAGACTCCAAATATTTGAGTTGTAAATTAATACAGATACAACTTGAGCATCATATGACCTTGTCATACGTTGTATGACCGCGCGCCGAGTGCGCGGCTCCCTGTATCGTAGAAACTGAGGTGAAACATAGTGAAACCATAGTGAAATCGTGGGGGTCACGACGTGATACAAATATAACCACAGCTTTCTTTCAAGGACAAATTGTCTTACGGACATCCATAACTTTTTCCGAAGTTCTTAAACAGGAAGTCAGCTAGGATTTTCCTTTTATGATGTCTTCTCAGTACCATTACACAGTAAACTTACGGAAACCTTAGCGACTTATTACTTTTCCGGGGACCATGGTTCGTTATTAGCTAGTGGCTGGACCGTTTGTGTCTTTATCAGGATTTTGTTCCGCCAGGTAGAATGTAGAAGGTACTGCATTTCAGTTTTACTTTCATTTACTTGGAGCTCCAGTTTATGAAAATCTCCCTTTTTTTTTCACTGGCAGGAAGGAAAATTCTCAGTTTCTCGATTGTCCTCGTCAGCAATTGCAAAGTCACCAATCGTTCTGTATATTCCCACTCGGTAGAAAATCTAGTCTGATTACTGGTGGTTGGGTCTCCCAGATCACAGATACAGCTCTGAGGTGGTTTGATTGCACTAACCAGAGCCCTCTCGCTTGCAGTATTGTAGGTTTACAACTTGCTCTAACCAGAGCCCTCTCGCTTGCAGTAGCGCGGCGCGACCGCAGTACGCGTATACACATAGCTATGTGAAGTTTACAACCTTGAACCTACCAGGACGCGCGCCGAGTTGGACTGGAACATATATTATACGAGTATCACCCGTTAAAGCACAGTTCATTTGAAAAACTCTATATTCATAATTGAGTGCTGTCAACATTTCGTATCATAGTCATTGAACATTTTTGGAACAAATTCCTCTTTTAATTGAATATTTAATTGAACATACCACGTGCAGTTTGCACTTAAATTAGATTTTGATTGAACAGTATGTTTAAATATTCAGTTTTCGTAAGATGAAGATTTCCTGTGAATACAAAAACATAAATCCATGTTTTGCTCACCTCGGTAAATTACAGCTAACTCAATAATAAGTACTAATAGTATACTACTATAAGTAGTCCAATAAACTGAGCTGTAGCTGTGGGTCATGTTCAGTTTCATTTTGAACTGATCCGTTTCAAGGTCCTGTAATATGGGCCAGGGCTTCGGTCTAGACTTCTAGATCCGAGCTTAGCCGTCCGTGCGTGGTGAAGAGCCACCATCCTGCACGAGGTGACCCTGCTAGACCGGGCATGTCCATTGAAGAACGAAATCCGACTGTTGGGTCAACTAACACGGCGGAATCTAGAGGGAAGCTCATACCTCGAAAAACAAGCGGGTTTATGAAAGCCTGCACGTGATTGTAACTACTGATGAGGGTTGTGTGGATTATTAGTTCACATCCAGGGTGCAGTGGCGCCGTGCTGAACAATGTCTAGCCACTTAGACAAAATCCCCTCCTTTTTATGATGACACACGATAACCAGCCGAGGGGTTCAAGCCCCTAACTATCAGTGCAGTAGCTCCCTGTATGACGGGCCCTCCCTAAACCCCCGGGAGGGGTGGGTCTGATAGTTGCAAGCAACCTGTTACCTACCCTTTTGTTCGTAGGAAACCCCTTTTCAGGGTTAGCTACCCCTTCAACTGTAGGACTCTCAAACCCTGTATCACGTTAAACAGGAGATAGCTCACTCGCCTTCATGCATACTAATGATGTTAATCTCCTTGCAAGGCATCGCTCAACGCACAAAAATCCCTAACAATTGATAACATCTTCTCATATACGCTTATCACTGCTTCTGTACGATGCAATTCAGTTTATGCGTCAGTTGGTGGTGTTGGGTTTCTTTTATTCCTCGAATTCCAGAATCTCTCCTATCGTAGAGAAAGTTAATAGCAGAATCATCTTGCACCATGTAAACGGAATCCTCGCCTCACAGTCCTCTCCTGTTTATGCTCCTACTAACTGCAGTTGATATTGAAGTCTACAATGCAATCTACAACGCTCCTAACCAGGTATATCTCTAAGGTGCCTCTCAAACATGCTAGCACGTGTGCGGTGATTCAACGCGAAGCTCAGTCATAGCTACGGTTTCACATTCCATCAGTCAACCCAACGACAAACCGGCGAAGACTATGGATCTGGTGACCAACACCAGCTGATAGTTGCTAACCGCTGTTTCCGAAACGGCTCATAAAATTTGGACTAGAAGACCCCAAAAGAGCAAACGCATCAAATTGGACTTTGTACTAGGCGTTAAGACAGTGGGCAAACAGTGTGAAGAACTGTTCAAGCGTTACAACATCATGCAAACTTTTCGGTTCAGATCCACCGGATTGTACAGTTTTGTTCAAGCCAGCTACAGAGTCAACAAAAACTCCAGCACGGGTCCCTCTTAGGAGCATTGACTGGACTCCACTGAACCCACGATTCATCATGAAACACCAGTATGCCTTGAAGTGAAAAAACAGGTACAGTGTACTCCTAGAGGAAGCAGAGCTCGAGTCCGACTACGACTGCTCGTTAAAAGCGGTTACACGCACAGCATTAAGGTGTATGCCAAAAAAAGGGGAAGAGGGAACGGGAAAATCCTTACAACGATCCTATATTGACACCATCGCAATATCCTAAAGGATGCTGTCCTGATCCACGGGCTTTCCCCTCTTTTTTTGTCAAAGGAAAAGCTTGAAGACGCAAAGACGCAACTGGACGAAGCCTATACTGCTGCTACTTCACAGCACATTCGACACAGACTGCCTGCCTGGAGAAAACTACCCTGAGCACAGGCTATCGAAAGTTCCTGGCACATCATCAGGCAACTAAATCTTCCGACACGTGTGCCATACTGCAAAGTGCCTGGAGGCACTACCGGAAGAACCGGATCAACTCTGGTTCGCGCCTTCAAGTCCCTTCTAGGCACAGAACCAGCCTCGCCGGACCTCACCTCCCCTTCTTCAACCCAGCGAGTCTCTGACACCTGCATCAGCTGCTATCCTTATGCCTGTCAGTAACTCGACACGGTTTTTCTGAAGTCCGCCAAATCCTCCACGTCACCCGGTCTGGATAGCATCCCCTCCCTCAGTCTGAGCGTCCCCAGCTACGTGAACACCTCCTCGGATTCTGTAACAAAGATCATGGCATGGTGTGATCCCTCAAGCCTGGAAAAACGGCCCTCTCATGCATTCCTATACCCAAAAAAGGGTGATCTTACTATAATCCAGGAAACTACCGTGGCATTTCACTGGCACGGTTGCAGCGAAAGTTTTTAACAAGCCTCATCCTCACCGGCTCGACCCATTCATTGTCCCCTCTTGCGGCCAAACCAAAATGGTTTCCGATTAGAGAAGATCCACACTCCACAGGTCCTGCCTTCGTCGTATAATCGAGGAAAGCAAGAATGGAAATCGCTCAGCCGCAATCGTTGTTTGTCGATTTGTCGAAAGCGTTCTGACCGCATTAATCCGGGATGCCTTTTCCACATGCTTCCCTCTACCGGATCCTGCTCCACTTGTAGAGCTATCAGGCTTTATTTCTGACTCATCATCTCTCGTGTCCAGACCCTCTACGGCCTTATGACTTTTTTAGGACACTTATTGGAGTTCTCCAAGTGACACCTCTAGCACCCTTTCTTTTACATTCGTCCATGGACTATTGTCCTCTAGACGCTGCATGGGTGAAGAATTCGGTCTTACCATCGTGCTAGGAAAAGTCGAAGAGTGGTTGCGGTCCAAAATCCCAGACCTTGACTTTGTGATGAATTTTGGGCCCTTAATGTCCACACCATAAGAGCAAGTCCAACTTATGCTGAAGTACCTTGAAAATGCAGCCGCACAAGTTTGGGGTCTTGCTATGAATGCTTCTAAGACAGACCGAGTTCATGGACCATCAACTCCCTGACACTGTCGACTTACATTCCATCTCAGGGCCGCCAGATTCAAACAGGATGATGACTTTAAAAAATACTCGGCTCTTTCATTGCGGGGACAGTAGAAAGGATTTCAACACAAGGAAAGGAATGCCCTGGTCAGCCCTGTATTTTAAACAGCAAAAGTTGGTCTCTGGCCATTTCCGGAACAACTGAAAGTCCATACGATTTCTTTAGGCCTGTGGCGAACCAGAATGCTCTATGGATCAGAGACATGGACCCATAACAAGCAACTTGAGAGGCCTCAACGGATTGCTACACCCGTCTTTTAATGAAGGCCAAGAACACCGGTGGAAGAAACATCCAACCACTCAAGCAGCATCTATGGCACCTTTCCATCTATTGCCTCAGTGGTTGCGTCGAGGCGTTCCAGATTTGCTGGGATTGCAAGAGGCTTCTGCCCCATGTTATCTCACTATCCTCCCTGGCGGTCTTCCCAATCCCGGGCCGGGAAGGAGGACCCACTCCCTTCCACTGGACCCGTAGTAGTCGTGACACTGGGCTCAGTTGACGGACCTTCGAAATGTTTTGTGCGATCGAGACGTGTGGCGGCCAGACAGTGAATGGGATTGCGATTGGGATTCGCCCAAAGTAAGTAAAAAAAGTAAGTAAGTATACTACTATAAGTAGTCCAATAAACTGGCAGTAGTTTTTTTTTTTTTTTTTTTGTTTTTAACCTGTATGTAGAGATAAGAGAGTCAATTAAATCATGAATTTCCACCACACCAGTTGAGATTACTTGGTTGATTATGGTGGTGTACCAGAAGTTGACAGTGACACAGCAGTGACAGATGTCGTTTGGTTTCGGTTTAGCTTTAGGTTAGGCAGTTACACATTATTGCATTAGGCTTATTATTGCATTAAATTATTTCACTGGCATTAGGTTTAGAAATTTTTTCTCTGGTTAAACAGATTTCAATGTTTTTTTTATATTATTAAATCTAAACTAGATAATAATTTAATAAATTATTAAACAGGCCCTTAACGTGGGCCTAAATATACGCTTTATAAATTATATAATCAAATGGCACAGGTCTATTTTTCCACTGTTGTTAAGTGTCTCTTAGATCTGTTTTGGTGTTTTGTGGGAGTTCCCACATACTGTTGGTTGAGGATGTCTCAACATAACATCCATGATGCTTGATGACTTTATTGACCCGGACAGGCACGGGGCAGACATTCCCAACACAGTGCGTTCAAATGTTTAATTAATTAGTAGTTATGACAGTTAAAGGTATATAAGAGTTACTTAATTTTGCATGGGCTATTATATTGGACATTGAGGTTTAATGATGATATGGAATTTGAAATTCTATATAAATTTACACTATGTGGTTGGGGCATTTATGCATAGTAAATATGGTTACTACTCCTCTATATATCATATTATTTAATGGTATTCGATTTCTGATTATTTCTCTTGGAATTTGATTATTATACTCAATTTGCTTTAAGGTAGGGTGCCCCGCTAAAAAGAACTGCGAATTCTTCAAGGAAGCATACGTGCACAGACCTTGGTCTACATATATATTAAATTATTAACCATTCCTTCTGTATGTGCACGAAACTTTATTTCAATCAAAAGGTTGTGGCTGGTTGAGCATATCATCACCAAACATTGATTGGGCGCAGATGAGTGAAATTTGATTATTAAAGCAATTAACTGTTTTACATGGACTGCAAGCTTTTTTTTGAAAGAAATATTCTATTTGTTGGAACTAGTATTGGTGTTGTAAAAGTGAATGCTAGAGGCTGCATCAGGAACAATTTGTGTGGTGTGGAAGAAAATAGACAAACAAAATTGGTATCAAGATTCCACATTTGATAGATGGGATACGTCGAGAAGAATCGAGGGTGATACAGGATCGGACGAGTGCATAAAATAAAGTATACGCCCCACCTTTGCCTCTCCGTTCTTTGTTGGATAGAAATTTATGCAAACTTGGTCGTTATACTCCATGTCCCTTTGTTAAAAGGACAGTACTATTAACTATGTCTAGAGTTAGCTTCGTTCATAATAAACAATATCAATATAATCTTTTCTTTATCAATTCATTATCAGATAAAACTAACCGAATCAATTATTAAAATATCCAATTAATTCGTTCCGATAAAAATGTTTATAAATTTAGATATTTAGTATCTAAAAACATTACAACAAATGGTTAAAAGCTGCCCAAAACGGATTTTGAGAGATGTTCTGTCTATAGTACACTCATGATAGTAATAGTAAGTGTGTGCCGAGCCAATTAGATTTGATTACTGCATTTAAAATTGTTGGGAGTCGAGTATCTTTAAAGTCAGCTGTCTGTGCTTGTATTAATAGTGCTTAGGTTCTCAATTTTATCAAGTTAATGGAAGTTTCTAGGCAATTGCTTGAAGTTCAAATTTTTTTAAAATTTTTACACAATATGTCTTTCTATTTACTTTTAAGCTTAGTACATTTAATATTAGACAGGAACCCATAGTAATAGCTAGTAAGAGGGTTTATTTGGTATTACTATGTATTTGGTATTGTTACAAGCATATAGTATGTGATATGTAAAAATTAATAGTGAGCATACTCATTAAAATTCATCACTCTCAGCAGTCAACCTGGATCAAAGAAAATTGTATTTTACTTACTACTTACTTCTGCAGCACGTGTAGCTATTATGTAAAAGCTAGCTGCGAGCTTACACATTCCTTCCTCTAAGGTCAATTTATCATAGCATGTATTATATATTTATTGATTGATTCTGTAATAAATTGGTGATAAATAATAAAATTGTCTTCTCTAAAAAAAATTGTCTTCTCTCAAAATTGAAGGTTTGAAACCTTGGCCTTGTGAGGTCATAAGGAAGTTTTGTATAACATTCTGTCTCTTAACTCATGGGGTGATGTGCATTTGTTCCTATACTATGCTAACTGTATTATAGAAGTTTATTTACAATTTGAACTGTCTAATTCATAAGCATCGATGGCCGAGTGGTTAAGGCGTCAGACTTGAAATCTGATGGGCAATGCCCGCGCAGGTTCAAACCTGCTCGATGCGAAAATTTTTCCATAAAATTAACAACCGGATGTTATGTTTTACATCTGATTCGCGGGGGCAATAATGTATTCGAGTTTATTTATCCGATATAATTGCGGTACTCTGTAAAGTTTGAAAACGTCTTTAATAAACAAAGAATTTCGCCGCGGTTAAACACGGACGCTCAATTTTCCCTATCATGTACTTGTCATTAATTCTTTTGAGTGAAAAGTGTGGACTGGAAAAAAAGTGCACCATATTAGCATACTATGTTTTTATAACTGAGTGGGATTCGTGCATGGTAAAAACTGACCGATTTATTTGACCCAATGCCGCGCCGCCCGAATCAACAATAAATGAATCAGAAAATTGCGGAAAATAACTTTGCGGAAGGGGAATTACACTGTATGTAATTAAACTTGGTGCGTCGCGCGCAGCATAACAAATGCTTCGATACACTTACTTATAGGGGAGTGGTATCTAGTTCGAAGGAGCAGACTATTGCATCATGCAGGTTCCATCGGGCCACCTCATATATCCAACACCCGTTTACTTATTCCTCGATCTTTTGGCCTTCGGCACGAGTAGGGAAAAAAAATGGGTAAATGAGTTTAACCAATTTAAGCAGATGTGACATCATTTCATTCATTGCCCACCTTTGTTTATTTTGAAGTAGATCAATGACAAGTAGATTAATGACATATTTCATACTTCTTGATTACTACGCAATTTTTGCATTGATTCAATTTGCAAATTTAATTTTAATGATGATGATTCAAACTATCTCAATTTATTCTTTTCATGGAACAGTTAGCTTCTTGAAAATATGGTGAGTTAGCATAATAGTATTTGAGCATGGCTATACAATATGTATATTATGATAGAGTGACATTCCTCCATCTGAAGGGAAAGCAATACAAGCAAATTTACTATCGAAATGCAAACTTAACTATCTAGTTTAAGTTTCCAAGTTTGTTTAATGTTCTTTACTTATGCTTTGTTATTTATCTTAACTATTAAATGTGACTACCAGACATACTACGCAAACAAAGGCGAGAAACCTACTATTGGGAAATTCCTTTCCTTTGACCATACCACCTTCTATGTTGGCAATGCCAAACAGGTTAGCACGAGTGTTTCAAAGTTTTTGTACTGAAGATTCTGAATCTTGACTTAAAAGTAAAACAAAATTGTTTAGTAAAACAAAGAGATTCATAGAATTATCTTGAAACTGCAAAAAGGTTTTAATTGACCTGAAGCAGTTAATCCTGTGATGTATTAAAATTGGAGACAACACTGTAATCACAATTTTATTATAAATCAGGCAGCTGATTATACTCTACAAGAATGGGATTCAAGAAGTTTGCTTATTCTGGACTTGAAACTGGATCTAGAAATGTCGTCTCGTGGATCGTGAAACAAAATGATGTAAGCAAGTGATAATAGATTGTTAAAAAAGTTGAAATAAGCTGGTTTGCTGTAAACACTAAACACCAATTCAAAAATTTACCCTGCATGGCAACGGCTATGTGCGTTTGAGCCTCCATTCATTAAATGTATCATGATATTGTTAAAACAAAATGTTAACAAGTGTATTTTTCAGATTTACTTCATCTTCAAGTCTGCTCTTTTGCCTGGAAACCCAGGTTTGTGAGATGTTTAACTGATCATCTATTGAAATCAAAAATTTTAAAAATTCCTAATTTTCTTGCACAAACTTCCATGATTTTACCGCCATAGTAAACAGGTTTTGCCCCGAAACGGCGCTCTGCTCGCCTCTCGAAGATGCGTAAGATCGATACTGAACAACAAAACGGTGTCGATCACGCTTACAATTCCATGATGGGTCGGTACTTACTGCAGTGTGTTGTTATATCTACTAACTTCAGCTGTGTGTTGTTGTTGTTATATCTACAGCTGAACGAACAGTTGCTAAATACATAGATTTATTTTAAAAATCTAGTTTTATTCAGCACAATTTCAGTTATCTCAGTTCAGACTTTTGCAGTGAAATTATCTAAACCCTGTTAGGTACAGTGTCTTGTGACTATTTAAACGTCTGTAAACACTTTGTGTGTCAGATCTCGTGATTCTTGTTCTTGTCTTCTCCGAGCACGTCATGATTTTTACCAATTACCAGATCGTAGTTATTCCTTAGCTGCGAAAATCTGACCTCGAAAATACAAATTTGAGAGCTTTAGATTTAGAGGCCTGTTTTTCGCAGCCGTGGTGTTGCGTCGTGCGATATTTTGATTCATTTATGTCTGTGTTAAATATCTAGATCGTTTCAAATATATTTATTTGTATTATAATGATGTACTTTTCGAGTGTAATTGTTTTCAACGATGCTTGATTATTGGCAGTCGCAAGATGTTAAAATACTGAATACATATAATAAGCATGTGCAACAACAATTTAATTTGTTCGATTCATGAAACGAAATATATTTTACATTCGAATGTTGGTTAGTTCCTTCTGCAGCAATGCATATATCAGGATTATGATTGTGGTCGTACTCCATTCTAAGAGAAATTCACGCTACACTTGTACACACTATCAATGTGACATTATTTTGATGTTTGATAGGAATTTAAGTTAGAGCTCAGTAAGATGTAAGTGATATATATCCTCCTCTAATTATCTTCAAGTTGTTGAACCGGTTTCTTGTTTCAGAGCACGGACCACATCTTGTTAAACACGGTGATGCTGTTAAAGACGTTGCGTTTTCTGTTGACGACTGCCGTGGTCTCTACAAAAGAGCCCTGGACAATGGAGCTAAGAGTGTACGGGAACCCTGGACTGAGTCAGATGATAACGGAACTATCACCTTCGCTTGTGTCCAAACGGTACCTGCCATCTTTGGTCCTTATTTTTAGATAAATTGAACAGTTTGCTGTCCTAGAGGAAATATTTTCTCCGTTAGAAGCTCTTCGCCGGTTTTTGATCCAGAAATTATTCATAATGGAGTAATGTTTTAGATTATTACTCACACCATTCCTCAGTACGGAGACACAACTCACACCTTTGTGGAGCGAGGTGGCTGGACGGGGGAGAACTTCCTACCCGGATACCAACTAGTCGACGAAGTGGATCCCATCCAGGCACTCTTGTAAGTAAAATATTTATTCATTATTTTTACAATGGCTCGATTATATTATTTTTTACTTGAAAGAGTGTTCGAGCTAAGTAGCAAGCAGACGTATTATACTGAATCACATGTTATACAGAATCAAGTGTTATACTGAATTACGTGCAGGCCGGAGATTGGTCTGCAGTTCGTGGACCACCTGGTAGGTAACCAGCCTGATCTAGCCATGGAGGACGCCGCTAAGTGGTACGAGAATATGCTCCAGTTTCACCGTTTCTGGAGTGTGGACGATTCTCAGGTTAGTCTTCTACTTTGTGTTATCACATCTTCAATGTTTTCGATCACAGAACAGGTTAGATAACCTGTTATGTAGTTATGATGGAGGGCTGCATCACATATCCCCTTCAATTATGCGGTCAGATATGCTAGCTGGACCATATTTAATGCAGTATGTGATGAACTCTGTGGTCCTGACTAGACGGTATCTAACTCATTATGGGGCACATTAGATACCGTCTGGTTAGATGTGGCTCATACCTAGTAATAATTTCCCTCTCAGATTCATACAGAGTACAGCAGTTTGAGATCTATTGTTATTACCAACTACGAAGAAACTATCAAGATGCCGATCAATGAACCTGCTCCCGGCAAAAGGAAGAGTCAGATTCAGGTAAACAGAATTAAGACAAACTCTACTTCGACTTATTTCTTTCGGTTTATCCGATTTATTGACAGTTTTGCAAATTACCCCAACGAATGTTACTCTGGTAGCCAGTTTCCAGTTGCTACGTACCGGCTCTGTCAATACATATCATGTGTCCTATTGACAGACTTATAAAATAAAATGAGATATTTGTCCCGCTCATATGATTAACAAACCAATACAAGTGATCCAAGCCTGGTCCCGGTCAAAATCGGCCTATTTTGTTGTGGACCGCAGTATAATACGTGGTGTACTAATTTGTCTTAAAATGAAGCTTGTCAGATTGTGTTATCTTCGCCGAGTTTAAAGGAATTTTAACGTTTAGTCAAGTTGTTGCTCGGGGAAACAATGAGGGGTAGCACAGAGAACATTAATGCAATTATACACTCAATATAGCATTATAATATAACCTATACCCAGTTGACCTAATACAAATTTCATGGAATTAACTTAACTTAACAAGACTAAAAAGACAATAATAATTCGTAATAAATCGCATTATAGTATAAATGTATGATATCGATTTATGACTCAATTGGCAAAGTTAAGCCTCAGACATGACTTTACATTCACATCTCAGTATAACCCTAAATCCCTTCCCAAATCTTACCCAAACCTTACCCTAAATCCATTAACTAACCAAAAAACCTTGTTTATGACGGGGGTAAAATGTTACTTATTTGAATACATTATCATATTATTATTTTATGTTATGATATGATTATTATGTAATATTAGCATCAGTATACCTTCTGTACAGGTTACAAAAACATCAAGTGATGTGGAATGTTGTACAATTTGCAGTACTTCACATCAAATGATGTGCATACGGGAACGCGCACATTCATTTTATATCATAAAAAAGGAAAGTTGTCACAGCATCGATGGCCGAGTGGTTAAGGCGTCAGACTTGAAATCTGATGGGCAATGCCCGCGCAGGTTCGAACCCTGCTCGATGCGAACTTTTTATTTCTAAGCCGTGCTTAGTTTTTACTTCTCTGTTAAACAATTACTAATGTTACATTTTGCAGGAATATGTTGACTATAACGGTGGGGCGGGAGTGCAGCACATTGCACTGAGAAGTATGGATATTATCAAGGACATTACCAACCTGAAGGCTAGGGGCCAACAATTCCTTACCATCCCTAAAACTTACTACACTGTTCTCCGGGAAAATCTGAAGAAAAGCAAAGTCTGCATTGCTGAGGACATGGCCATTGTAAGGAAATAAAATAATGATTTATCTATTTTTTCAACTTTTACTGTTTTATTTAATTGAGCTTACACTTATTCATTCGATTTCATAAAAGAAGCATAATACCGTGTGTATGCGTCAGCGTTATAATTAGATTTATATAATATGTAAATTGTAATATCATAATATAATGTGTGTCGTACTGTAGCTAATATCGTAAACATAAAGATTGTTCTAGAACCTAAAGATTGTTCTAGAATGTGTAATATAAACGTGTCTATTCGCTGCACAAGTATGTGTTAAGAATAAACCCCCGAGAAGTAATGTTCAAGTGTCCTCTGATTGTATATTAAGTACATAAAGACGGCTAGCAGATGTTGTTTTTGAAATTGAACACTTCCTTAATTTGGCAAAAATTTGTCAATAAGGTGGCTTTTCAGTGTACACTGTACAGATCACGTGATCAAAGCCAGGAAACTTGAAAAGTACACACTGCGTTAGAAAAACACCTGCACCCTGGCCCTGCCGCGTAAAGTTTTATAAAAGCGAGCCCTTCAAAATCACTACTTCCGAACTAAGCAGAGAAATAAATGTCGTATACCTTGATATTACAATGGGTTACAACCGGTTTTTATTTTGTTTGGGGACCGGTTTTTGGTACACCAGCCAATGTTTACAAAATCATATGATACATAACAATATAATTTTATTTAATATAAGTGAAAATGAGAGTTGAAAATTATGATGTAACCTTTATCGTTTAATTCTTTAAACCAAAAACTTTAAAATTAAAACTTGCATATCATGATTTATTTGTTAAAAACATAGTGAAAAATAATTTGATTTGATACGACAGATGATCACACGCACTGTTTTATAAGCTATTTGTATTGATAATTAACGATTAGTGAGCAGGGCAGAGTCGATAGTATAGTGCTTTGCATAGTGCTCTGTTTGAACCGTAGTTAAAATAAATAAAAGTTTTGATCACAAAGATTACAAGAAATGTAAGAAATAATAACATAAAAATGTCCTTTCAGCTGGAGAAGTTGAACATACTGATCGACTACGATGATAACGGTTACCTACTCCAAATCTTCACAAAGCCCATGCAGGACCGCCCAACATTGTTCCTGGAAGTTATCCAGCGTCACAACCACAGTGTACGTAGTACAGAATATTTAACATATTGCATATAATGCAGCAATATAGTACAGTGACTATACTAGTTGCAACGTAAGATATCATGTGCGTCAAACATGCCAGCGTGATAATATGTTTTTTACTTCTCGATCAATCTATGAAAATATTCATTGTCATTTGAAAACAATTATACCCCAGCATCATTTTATTTCGATTTTGTATTTCTAATTTGGACAGATCCATGTCAGGTTGCATAAACAATAAACAAATACGCCATCCCGGATCGGGAAATTGAGCGGCTATCCACAAAAGAAAAGCGACCACATTTTTGTTGAATTTTATTTCATGAATTAGACGACGGTAACCATGGTAACCGTATGTTTTTAAATTCTCGATTAATATCTAAAAATATACTCTGTTATTCGAATTTCGAAAACTACACCCGACCCAGCATCTCACATCCAGAAATTTTTAAATTTTCTCCCAGTCCAACGTCTCCTTCCAAAAAATGTTCTTCTTATGCCCTTAAAAAAGGTCAGGTCTTCAACAAATGACCTTAGTCCTATTTATATTTGGCACAAAATTTCCTCTCAAATTCAAAATTTCTACCAGACAAGACTACCAGATGTGAGCCTAGCAATTAGCATATATTTTGTTGTTAAGAATCGTATTTTAAACTTTCATCTAATGAATTAGATGACGGTTACCAAATACCATGGGGACCAAAGTTGGGAAAGTTTCCTTGAAAATCGAACTAGGAGGGTCGCGGAGGGGCTATATCTAAAATCACCTCTCCATTGTTATTGTCATTCGTTTATTATTGCCATGCTATTAATCAACATTAACATAAATTATTGCAGGGATTTGGGGCCGGAAACTTCAAAACACTCTTCACAGCAATAGAGATAGCTCAGAACGAACGTGGAAACTTGGTGTAAGAGAACTTAGCACTTCAACAGTTGAATCGGACTTTATTCAACTGATAAAAAATCAACTAAATATTTCGTTTTTCACTTAAATTAAAATAGAATAGGAAACTGATATTATATTGTATGACGAATAATCCAGTGGCCCTGGAGTTCTGTGCAACTTGCCTTCATAGAAATTAAATTAACTGTAGCTGCGTAGTATTTTATTTATAAAGTTCCAGATAACAATTTTGTTATATAGTATAGTATTTATTGTATAGGTCATTGTGTATGTTTTTATGTAATTAAATAGAAGTTTCAGTTTCCGTTAGTATGTTTAGTTAAGTTTTTGAAAGCTTTTTAAATCCCTGTTATTTAGTGTTTGATATGATTACTATGCGCTGCTTGTGAGTGTTCGACGAATAATGTGGTTTCCTATGATACAATAGTTTTAATCGACTCCCCCTCTACAAAGTTTATAGACAAGTGATATGTTTATTGGATCAAGAGATAAATTTATTAAATCATTAATCAAATAACAAGCCTCAATTCGTACATCATGAGCCTGAAGTATTTAAGGTTCTCGGACCACACGCCACATGAATCGTTCGATACCAAAGGTCTGGGGCTCAACCTGAGATTACATACTCCCCCTGTCCTTGAGATCTCGCAAACTAATATTAATTGTTTTTTTGTTGGTATTATTAAATACCAAAATGTTTCGGGTCTTACGTACATGGCCATATTTGCGTTTTCGGATATGACTAACATCTGGAGAGTGGTGACCAACTAAAAGAATACCTGGGGCAAGTTGTGGGGCCAGCTGTGTGGCAAGCTGTGTGGCAAGCTGTGTAGCCAGCTGTGTGGCAAGCTGTGTAGCCAGCTGTGTGGCAAGTTGTGTGGCAAGCTGTGTAGCCAGCTGTGTGGCAAGTTGTGGGGCCAGCTGTGTGGCAAGCTGTGTGGCACCCAGCCTGTATCTGACGGTGCTTCTCTAATTAAACTCCATAATATCAAGAGGTGCAATGTTGAAATCATAAACAGTCACTACCCATCTAACAGTAACGATTATATGTACCTTGAAATAAACCAATTAAATACCTTTTAATACTGTAAAGTATGGCCTTACTGGCTCCGTCGTATATTATACCCAGTATAATAAACTAAAAATAATCGTTAGGTTAACCATTTTAACCGATCTTGGGATTTTTATGAAGAATAAGGCATGGCTGGCCCTTCATATATTGTACATGGTGTGTTTTCTTTTTTGATTGTTGGGGACGAACTACGAAGTGAGAATCTCCACTTAATGTAATAAACAAAATGTAGTCGACGTTTCGGCTACACGCTTTTGTCATGGACGAAACGTCAGAATAAAGTAAAATAATACTACTGGCAATAGCTCGATAATAGGCTAATTACAAGATGGGGGCCGTGCCACAAAAACCAAGAATACATCCTCTTCTCCTATGTATACATCCTCCTCTCCTCTGTATTTAGCAGATGGTATACGGTGGAATTTGTCTTTCCGTTCCATTTGTTCCGCGGAACAATATTTGACGAAAGTCGATTATTTTATCCAACAATATGATTTTGTTCAAACGTCCCAGATGGTAAGATTGTTATAAGACTGACAATCTCTTAAAGTTTGGTGAATTTCTATTTGCCAAATTTGAGATATCTCCTGAAACACATGAAAATATTTTTAAATTCATGGTGCGCCATGGAACGCAAGTGAACATCTCCAGATCCTTAGGATCCTATCATAGGATTTTCCTAAAACTTCAAAGATAGTAAAATTGTCCTAAGACTGATAATTAGTGCAAGTTTTGACGAATTTATATATACCAAATTGGAAATATCACTTCAAACTTCAAACACAAGAAAACATCTCTAAATCAAATTTTACTGATATTATGATTGTATTGATGGAAGGCGCCCAGCGAATATATTACAGATATTCATTGCGCCAAATGAAATGCTACATTGCATTGTACATGCATATCACGGCTGTTCAGAACGTCGATTTCTGCGATTCAAATTAGATAGGATTCCCATATAATAGGATATTATATCCTGGCGCGTCCGACACATCTCGGATTTTATCAATCCTAACGTGTAACGCCGATCCAGTCCCCCCAGGATACCTCCGATGAATTCCTATCGCCGAGCGGCGATAGGATGTGTAATTTCCGAGAGACGATAGGATTTGCTCTCGGAGCCGATAGGAAATTAAAAACCTATCGGATCCGAGCGCTAATCCTAGCGGAGATAGGATTTAACAATTCCGAGTGCCGATAGGATTTGCTCTCGGACCCGATAGGATACTCAAATCCTATAGGATCCGAGAGGCGATAAAAAATTTCAAATATCAGGACCGATATAATTGGAAGACGACGCATATCTAACTGTAGGTTGAATTTCATGCTTTCTGTCAGTTAACTTCATCGCTTTATCTTAAGTTGATCCGGGATCCTTCCGGGATTGCATCGCAAAGGGGTAGCCTCGATTCCAAGATGGTATCTTGAGGGGTATGTACGGAAAAACCAGCTTATGATGAGCATTGATCAGGGTAGCTCATGAAACACATGGTATGGAGAAAAGTGGTTCCACCAAGACACTTTAACATTAGATTTATTAATTTTGCGTTTTTTAAATCACTTTGGGATCGAAATTTAGGGGTCTAAAGTGACACCAATTACGGTAAATTTTCTAATGCCATTCTATTGATCAACAGCACATGATATAAGATTACATAAGACACTATATTGTATATTATATATTTATATTTTATGTAATAATCTACACATCTGAATAATGCTATGTTGTATGTGTAAAAACTTGATAACAAAGTGTATGTAATAGCTACGTTGATAACAAGTCAGGTGACCTAGCTCATCGATAAACAAATTCATTTGCTAATCTTTTTCTCATTGCTTTTACTGCCAGCTCTTACATGTGTTAGTATTTGTGACGTTGCCAGTTGGTTGTACAATTGTTGGTGCGTTTTGGCAAACATGAGACACATCATGTTGACACGGGTCTTATAGGAAGTGTTGGATTGTAAATCCGTTGCTAATTATTACTTAACTAGCTTATCAATGACAAGAAAATTTGATTTATAAATTGTAGTAATTTAAAGTAGATGGCATCTACACGCCTTTATCCACTCCGTTCCTCCTGTAGACGAAAATGCTTGGGTAAGTCATAACTATGCTATGAGTTAAGGGAGTTTTGAAGCATCTTTTAACAGCTGATCGTATATTAAAATACCTCTCAAGACTGTAATCTCTTGCAGTTGCATGGCCGAAAAATGACGGCCTGCTATTAGGGGTCGTTAACATATTACGTAATCAGCCGAGGGGGGGGGGGTTTTCAAATGCTTACGGTTTACTACGGGGGGGGGGGGGGAGGGGGTTATGGTCGTTGATTACGTAATCAAAATTTTAATTTTTTACCGATTTTCGAAATACCAATTGGAAAATTTTCGTCAAACCTTGATTACGTAATATGGGGGGGGGGGGGGGGGGTAAAAATTGCCAAAATATTGATTACGTAATATGTGACCCCTAATAGATATTAATCGGTGTTTAGATTGTTGACATAGAAGAGACATTAGGTATGAAAATAGGATGCTTGCTGTGGAACTAGTCCTTCTCAAAATGTACTAATACACTATTAAGGTGCCAAAACCTTTAATTCTAGGACGATGAACATTACAGATTTACTAGACAACTGCTATTACTACTATATATTTGATATTCTATACTGTATATTGTTATTATTGTATATTTGATATTGCATTTACGCTACCTCATTCAAACACTTTCCTTACACCAGTGCAAGAAGTCATCATGTCAAATCCTGAAATTGAGAAGACTGCACTGAACAAAGACTACGAATCTGAACATGATTATCAGACGCCACCCGACCCATCATCTTGGGCCTGTGGAGAGGGTCCATGCGTAGTACAAGCCGCACAAAATGAGGAACATAATAACTCCATGATCTACTACGAAATTGATGTTACCTGTCCCGAACTTACCCTCAGTGGCGACAGTGGTATCCTGGACCCAGATTCCCAGAGTTTGAACTGCACACTTGATCTGAGATCCACAGACTCTAATGCCAGTATTGACATTGGCACTCAAAGTGACTTTTCGTTTCTCTCACCGATGAAAGACTCAATAGAACGTCAATTATATGGGACAAAGAGACCTCCGCTGGAGATGTCTCCAGATTTAGAGCACAAATATAAGCGGATGAAGCTTTCCCGAGAACGTGTCAGGGCCAGGCCACCACTGAGAAGAAGAAAGAAGAGGAAGCCAGCTGGAGATTCTGATAAAATCTTGTCGGTGTCACCAGAAAAAATTGGTCTATCCGCTTTGAGAGGAACTGCGCACTATCTAGACCAGACTTGTACTTTGCAATGAGATCGGACAATCTAGTTTTATGTAAACTTATTTCCCTTATGTAATATTGTTTTTTTGAAAACCTTAACCTTATTTTGTAATATTCTTATTTTTTGGATTTGAATAATTAATTAAAAATAGGTAAAGCAGGCAGTTTTTCCGACATGATATTAGTTTTATAACAAAACCTCACAGCCCAGAGGGCAGAGGCGGGAGGCCTGACAAATAACAACCAACACAACCTGAACGAAGAGATGACCGATATATCAGATAATAATATTGAATGGTCTGTGTGAGCACGTGTACAATTTCAATTTGAAAATGTACGAATCTAAGTAGTCACTCTGGTTACAAAGCTATACCTTTAATGACTGTGGTCGTTTTTACCAGTTTTTCAAAGGGGGTCAGTCATAGCATATCGAGTGGCGTTCAATGTTCATATCAACGTCCGCCAAAGGCACATGTGATTGCAGCCAGAAAACATAAAGTCTAAACTTCTAGAGGCATCCAAAACGTGAAACTAGTTCTTGAATTGATATCTTAGATTCACGCTATTTTCAGAGCTAGGTTGAACATAATTTATCATCAGGTATTAATACATCACCAATCACATGCTATTCATCATATGCAGTTCACAGAAAGTACGCAAAATGCGAATGCATGACGCGCAGAATATCAGAGCACGTCACGTACGAACGAACAGTCTAGTACCGGCGCGCGACCGGACCTACCGCGCTGCATGTGTTGATACGGGATAGTACTTTCTGTAAGGGAACATTATGACAGCGCCATACATGCGGTCTCATGCAAGAGTTGTCTTTTCGATAATTGAACAAATCTCTTTCTTTCCATAATATAGTACACAGTGTTCTCGATGAAAGCTCAAAGCTTCTGCTTTCGTTTTGGAGATCTAAGAAAAATACATTATCTTAATAAAGTTGCTGATTTTCTGGAGAAACGGTACAGTGACATAGAATAAATAGTAGAAAACTTTTGCAAACTTTGCTCTTCCTGGCAAATTAATAACATAACGTTTATTTGGTCCAAAAAACGCAAAAGAGCGCAACAACGACGAGTTATTATTGGCAAATAAAGAGCTTAAAATGTGCCGGTATAAAAATATACTGCCCCATTTCAGTCGGTTTTTCATATATTTACAACGATCACTTCACCAGTTAAATCAACAATTATGTGAACTGATGTAATCAAAAAAGTTTTAGTCGCACCCCTTTTAGATTCAACCCTACCGGGTCGCAATTACAATTACACCCTCGCAAAGTGATATCTCCTGAGAATACAAATGGTGATCTATTTTCTATGCGACGATGTTAATCTTTGGGTTTTTCTAGAGTCTATGTTCTTTCGAGTAAAAAATGAATCACTAGTCGAGGATCAATTTATTTCAGCGGTCAATAAAATATGGCAACTCTTCCCTCTGCGGGGTCATCACAGTCCTTCGTTTATTGAAAGGGGGTCCCGATCTTAATTTAAAAATTTTAAATTTTGTTTTTTTTAAACCAATTAATATGAATTTTTTCTTCTTTTCTTTAACATGGTGGTTCACAAAAAACAAAAGTATGTGATTTTTTTGGTTGTTGTTACTTTGGCTTTTTTGAGGTTATTTTTTTTCATTTAAAAAAAAAAAATAAATTTAAAATTATTTTGGGGGAATTCGGTAGTTTTGGGTTTTTTTTTATTTACACCAAAAAACCCATTACAGATCGATCCAAAAAAATCTTTTCCACTGCGAGTTAAACAATTTCCCCAATCGGATGGGGCAGCTTGTAACCCGCTCGAAACTTAAAAATTTTGGGAAATTTTTAAAATTAAAATGTCAATAACGGGGCAAATCAGGGGAAAACACCGTAAAAAAAGCCAGGGGGACATAAAACCGGGGTTTTAGACCCCACGTGTTCATTTTTTTTTTACCTTTCCCAACGTCCCCAAAAAAACTAAAAGTAAGGAAAGAACTTTTGTTCATCCCCAGTTTTGGGGCCCCCTTCCCCTTAAAAAATTTTTAGGGGGACCTAGTGTTTTGTTTGCCCTTTTCTTTTGGGGGCAAAGGGGGGGGACTTTTGGATTCCCGTCCATGGGGGAGGGGTTTTTACGTTGCTTTCTGAAAGCTGGGGGCTTGTCCGCGGGGGTTTTAGGGGAACGAAGCGGGTGGGGATGTTCGTGGTGTTAAAAAAACGGGGTTTTTTTTCCCCGGGGGGTTTTTTTTCCTGACTAAAAAAAGGGCTTTCATGTTTATGGTTTTAGCTTTTTTGGGCCTTTTTTGGGTTTTTTAAAAAAAAATCAGGGAAAAAAAAGGGGGAAAAAGGGGCGCGTGAAAAATTTTTTTCAAAATTTTTACAGAAAAAAAGGGAATTTTTAAAAAATGCGGGGGCGGGGGCCTTAAAAATTGGGGGCCGGGGCTTCTAATTTTTTATTTCGTTCTAAAATTATACAAAAAAATATTTTTTCCCAGGCTTTTTGCTTTTTTTTGGCATTTAAAAAGGGTTACGGGCCCCGGGGGGACTTTTCTAAAAAAAACACTTTTTAAATTTTTTCATTTTGGGGTTAATTTTTATGGAAAAAAAAAGGGGGGGGCCCGTCTGTGTACGACCCAAACAAGTTTTTACCCCCACTGGCTACAAAAAAAGCTCGCAGTAAAAACTTTTGAAAATTATTTGAAAAAAGTGTGTCCAAAAATTGTACCATTGGGGTTTGCAAACATAAAATTGGGGGGGGGGACTAAGGAATATTGGGGGGCGCGGGGGGGAAGGGGAAGAATATGCTTTACTACTTTTTTTTAAAATAAAAAAATTTTAACTAAAAAAACTTTTTGCTTATGCTAAGTTAAAAACACTATTTTAATTACTTATTTTATTAACTAATTTTAAAATTTTTCTATCGGGTCGTTTTGCGCTGGGCAGTTTCTCAACTTCTGTTGTTTAAAACATTTTGAAAAAACAATTTTCCATCCGTTTTGCCAGGGGGTCGATTCAGATTTTTCCCTTCTGTATTGGGGATGGTTTTTTGTTTTTCCGCTTTTCCTCGGTCTGTGGGAAATTTTTTACACTTAAATTTAACTTAAATAAAACCCCCATTACATAAATTTTATTAAATTTTTTGTTTATTAACTGAATTTATGTTTTTTTTTAATTGGGTTAAATATAACCCTATTTCCCCGGGCAAAAATTAGTTTTTTTTTAATATTTGTTATGTTATTGGGTTTCGCCCCCAAAAAAGGGGTCAAAAATTTTTAAAAAGGGCCCAAAAACGAAAAATTTTTTTTGGGGGGCCCGTGTTTTAAAATGTGGGGGTAATTTTATTTTTGGGGGGGCCTACCCTAAAAAAATTTTAAAAACCATCTAAATTCCCGGGGGCTTTTTTTTATCCACGGGAGTTTTTTTTTTTGATTAAACATTGTTTTCCGAAAAAAACCAGGGGGGGGTTTGGGATTTATTTTTGGAAAATATGTTTGAATATCCCCGGTTTGGGGCATCAAGCCAAAAAAAACTTTTGGGGATAAACGGGTTTTTTAAAGTTTTTTTTTCTTTTGATTTGCTGTTGGGGGGGGGAAAAATTTTCCCAAAACCGATTACGAAATTCCGCGGATTTTTACCGGGCCCCATTTGGGGGTTTGAAATTTTTTTTTTTGGGGGGGGGAATTTTTAACTTTAAAAAAAGGGGTTTTACTTAAAAATTTGGATAAAAACAAAAAATTTTTTCGGATTGGGGGTCCCTTTGTAGTGAAATAAACCCCAAAATTTTTATCTATTCGTATTGGAAAGGAAGTGGATTTTTTTACAAAAATTTTTTGTAAACAGAATTTGTTTTTACAGCTGTTTATTTAA